TTTGTGAAAAGAATTGATTTTTGAATAGTGATATGATGGGAAATGTGTGGTTGAAAAAGAAGAAAAAATTATTGATGTGATGGAAAATATTATTTTATTGAAGAATGTGTGGCTGAAAATGAGAATTGATTTACTGTAGAAAAATTTAATCATTCCCAAACAGGGCCTTAGCCTCTATTTCGGCTCGATGCTCCAAAAAGTACAATTTTCTCTGTATTATTTTTAATAACGTATTTTTTAATAAAATAATATTATACGTAAATTTTTTTTATTACACATTCTTCAAAATATTATTTTTAATGGAATCAAAACAAATTTCGTATCAGATCTCCCGCCCAGCCCATCTCGACTCGGCCCATACTGGACTGAATCCCTGGGTGCGCCTACTTAGCCATCCTACCTGAGGAACCCTAATTTTTCTCTCTGCCTCTCTTCATTCTCTCCCAAATTTTCCCTTGAAACGATTTTCTTAATTCTTTGCAGTCTACTCGAACCCGAAAACCCTCAAAAAACCCTCTAATCTTTCGCTAGATTCAGCAGGTAAATAACTGAAAAACCCTAGCTTCGCACGCACATATATGTATTAGATATAGGCATATCTATGTGATTAATTTGAGCTAAAATCCCAATTTTTTTTTTTTATGTACTGATCTGTTGGGTTTGTATGCTCGTGTAGTGAAGGCAGTAGAAATGGGAGAGATGAAGGAGAACGACGCATACGAGGAGGAGCTTCTCGACTACGAGGAAGAAGACGATAAAGCTCCCGACTCCGTGACCAAACTGAACGGCGAATCAGCCAAGAAGTGAGCTTCTGATATATCTCAGGATCTTCATCTGTTTATGTATATGTTTTTATATGTGTCAATATATATGTATATTTTTTGTACACCTGAATTGATATATACTTGAACGCTCACTTTTTCTGTGCCTAGTCTATGTTTTTGCGACGTTTTAAACTTTTATATTAACTTTTTTTTTCGGTAGTTTTTTTAAGTGGAAAAATCATCGTGCACAGTTTATGATTTAGGGTTGCGCTTATATTTTATTTTGCACGTGTGCTTCTTATATGCTTCTGCTCATCGATTATAGCTGTATAAAGTAAGCATTACAGTAGAAAGTTGTGGATTGCATTCTGTTTAATTGTTTGATAGTCAAGATTTTCTATTTAGAACTTAATTTATTCATTTCTGGGAGTGGATACAATTGACTTTCCAAAAATATTTAGTTTTAGAGATGTGAATGTGAAGATCTTATAAGGCTGCAGATTGATAATAATTTTCTGATGAAGTCAAGGGGGTGAACTTAGTTTTTGTTATTATGGAGCTGTAACTGATCCTGTTGAATTAACTGTGGCGGTTGCTAGTTATATCAGGTGTCATACCGTTGGAGTTTAACTTAGTTTTACTCTGGACTTTTAACAATTGAATATGCATTCAGTATTGCATTTGCTCTTTTCGTGAAAGATGATAATGTGACGATTTCATTCCTGTTTACTATTGCAGGGGTTACGTGGGAATTCACAGTTCCGGATTTAGAGACTTCCTCTTGAAACCAGAGCTTCTAAGGGCTATCGTAGATTCTGGATTTGAGCATCCTTCAGAAGGCAAGATTTGTCTTCTTGTTATTTAGCTGGTTTAATTCCCTAATAATTTGTCATACAGTTCACGTGATGGAAATGATATTTAAAATCTGGTCCTTAAACTAAGTCATGCTGTAAGAAAGGTGGGAGTGTATGATATGCATTAAAATTTATAACCAATTCTTGTGGCATCAGGCTTAACTTAAACCATGAGAAATCATATCACTTGTTGTGCATTTCTTATGTTCCCTTTCTTGTTGGGGGTGTACAGTAATTTTCAAGCATCTGTTGTCTACACATAAATGCTCTATGTGGTGGTAGGTTTTCATAAGTCATTGGAGTTAACTCTGGTCTTGGTGCAATTGGATCCATATCATTTCTTGAAGTTTGAGTTGATTTTATTGTGAAGTTTTTAGTAGAATTATGGAACATTGTTTGAGAAGCTTTTTCATTTCTAAGTTTAGACATTAGGTAGTTTCCTTCTTAATTTTTCTTTACTTGTGTCTTCTGGAGTTTTGGTGAATCTCTTTGAATTGAACTTACTCCAGACATGATGGCATGTGTTTTTGGTACTTCAGATTCTTAATATTTACCTTTGATAATTGGTTCCTATAACTTGTATGAAATTTGCTTAGTAGATTTGTATCTTGCTAATTTGGCAAATTGTGATTTTCAGGTAAATCACTATTATCACTCACACTTTTGGGAAGTTGAATGGTATACCTTTTTTAATTGAAATGAGGCTTCTTTGGATCAAATTTCTTTGGTTCTTCATCAGTGCAACATGAGTGTATACCTCAAGCTATTTTGGGAATGGATGTTATTTGCCAAGCAAAATCTGGAATGGGGAAGACTGCTGTTTTTGTTCTCTCAACATTGCAGCAGATTGAACCTGTTGCCGGACAAGTTGCTGCACTTGTTCTATGTCATACAAGGGAACTCGCATACCAGGTGCTTATTCCATCTAGTAACTTTTTTGTCAAAATTTCTTGTGTTTCAGAAAATTTCTACCATCTGTGCCATTGAAATTCCTTCATAATCTTTTTATGTTCCCACCTATGTCCTCAACTATCTATTTCTTTTTTTCTATTAATACTTACTATGCTTTATGGGTATGCCATTTCCATTTGCAGATATGTCATGAATTTGAGCGGTTCAGCACATACTTGCCAGATATCAAAGTTGCTGTTTTTTATGGGGGTGTCAACATCAAAATCCACAAAGATCTTCTGAAAAATGAATGCCCTCACATTGTTGTTGGAACACCTGGGAGGATTCTTGCGCTAGCTAGAGACAAGGACCTTTCTTTGAGGAACGTGAGGCATTTCATACTTGATGAATGTGATAAGATGCTTGAATCTCTTGGTATGTGACTTGAAGTCTTGAATAATATTTATGTTCAGCCTCTTCATGCAATCAATCTAACTCCACTCTAATTTCTGTCATTTGTAAGAAATACTTTTTTTTTTTAATAATCTAGTTTTATGTCCACCCAGATATGAGAAGAGATGTCCAGGAGATTTTCAAGATGACCCCTCATGACAAGCAAGTAATGATGTTTTCGGCTACACTCAGCAAGGAGATCCGACCGGTTTGCAAGAAATTTATGCAAGATGTAATGTCCTGTGGCCAGTTCTACTTGAATTTAGAAGTCCACAATTTTACCATTATTCCAGCTTTCTGCAGGCGGTATCTAGTCAAAAATGCAGTGGTTCAAGCACTGTATTCTCCCCTTCTCATGTGTTTTCTATCCTACTGACACAACATAATGCTTGATTTGAAAAGTTCTGACGGAAAGGGAAATAGGAGTCTTCTTGGAGTAAAGGCAGTGTACGACCAGTATTTTCTGCACTTAGCGTGTTTTTAGTCCACGTCTCGAGTCTTCTTTTTATTTGAATTTTTCAATTATGTTTGGAGGGTGTGTTATGGGATGAGGGGTTTAGGAAAGCAGCGTCATTCTGGAATTTATTATCAGTTTCTTTCTAGTTTTTGTTGAGCAATGGTGGATTCTAGATGAGCTAAGCAATAAAGTAACTGCAAGGAGAATCAGATGGACCGGAACCTCGATTTGGGGGACCTTCATCCATCATTCATTTCGTTGTGGATACCATTAGCTTCAGGCAGGCACCTAATATGCTTTACTGTGACATTTATTCATTTCAGCCTATGGAAATTTACGTGGATGACGAAGCCAAGTTGACCCTTCATGGTCTTGTACAGGTTTGTTTCTTAGAATTTGAAATGTCCTATTTGCTCTTCTAAATTCTGTTATTTTTTTACTTGACACCCACCTACTACAGCACTACATCAAATTGAGTGAGCTGGAGAAGAACCGGAAGCTGAATGACTTGTTGGATGCGCTTGACTTTAATCAAGTTGTCATCTTTGTCAAGAGTGTCAACAGAGCAGCGGAGCTTAATAAGTTGCTTGTAGAGTGTAATTTTCCGTCTATTTGCATCCACTCTGGCATGTCTCAGGAAGAAAGGTTTGATCAGTTTAAATCATATTGATATTTGTTTGGTAAAATGTATTGTGAGTTCTAAACCAAATTTTCGTTCCTTTATTTGTGGTATATAACAATGGCAAATTGGAGAGATCAAAACATGCCCAAATTTAGGGACGGCAATTTTCCCTGCCAAAGCAGCGCCCCACGGATACCCCGAATGGGGTCGCGCCTTATGGCAGGGCGCGGGGCACGCTGAACCTGCCCAAATTGCATTAACAAGGTTTTAAAACACGCTGGAGTAATTAACGGTTAGAAATAATTAGATTGTATGCGTGTACTTTAAACCTTCAGACAGATGAACATTTAGAGAATTTTTTTTACCTCAAATCTGGTTTGTTTCTTCATTAGTTGGATGGGCTATGTCGATATAAACAATTGATTTTTCTTGGCATCAATTTGAGCCACGAAGTGGTGCCCTGAACTTTTGTTCAGTTAATGTATATTAAATATGGTGGACATCTCGGAATAGTGATCTTTAGTTTCATGCAAGGAAAAGTAAGGATTGGCCTTTTCCTGACTTGTGGTTATGCAGATTGACACGCTACAAGGGCTTCAAGGAGGGGCATAAGAGGATCCTTGTGGCAACAGATTTGGTTGGTAGAGGAATTGATATTGAAAGGGTTAACATAGTCATCAACTATGACATGCCAGATTCTGCTGACACTTATCTGCACAGGGTATTTTTTTTAAAAAAATTATTTCATTAATATCAGCCGTGTTTAGTATCACAGAACAATCAGTCCTTATGTTCTTTCATTTTCATTTTCGACTTGATAGGTGGGAAGAGCTGGAAGGTTTGGTACCAAAGGTCTTGCAATCACATTTGTTTCATCTGCTTCAGACTCTGATGTTCTCAATCAGGCATGGGATTTGTTTGTGTGTGTGTGTGTGTAGATTTTGCATTTATTTTAGCTGCTTTCATGTCTTGATGCCTGGCTCCATAATTTATTGCAGGTCCAGGAGAGGTTTGAAGTGGATATAAAAGAGCTTCCTGAGCAGATTGATACATCAACATACAGTAAGTTTGTTTATCCCTTTTTTAGTTGTAAACTGGTTTACATTTTACCTCCTGCTGCTGCCCCCCATTTATGTGGAAAGTGTTCAGATTACTCAGGACATTTAAATGATGTTTAGATAGTAGCAAATTTAAAGATGCCATGTCTCTGTAGATTTGTTGAAAAGTTTAAGATCGGAATAAGATGAAAAATTCTATATGTATAAATTTGGGTTTGAGAGGCTATAGCCGACTCTCCAGTTAGACCAATCCTATTCTTGTTTGGCCAGACTTTTAAATTTCACTTATCACATTCTATTTTATTTATGGATACGGCATATCTTTCCTTTAAGACACAGTACTGCTCATCACGAATACATTGTTGATTTACATTCTTCTTTGGCATGATGCAGTGCCTGCTTAGTCCGGACAAGGTCTTTCTGGCAGATGCATGCGTCAATCATCAAAGAAGGGACGCAACTTTATCTTCTGGTTATTAAGCTCCTGCTCTTGTATCTGTTGAATTTATGAACTAGTTCGTTGGAAGAAACTGAGGCTCTACTCTTCTATGCTTTAACACTTCCAAGATTATTGTACGCCTAATGAATTACTAGGTATTCCCACCTCAACAGACAGTTATTTGACATTTTTAGATTGTTTGGGTTCTCTATAAATGATTCTATAGTAATGTCTGAATTTGTTCGAGGCTAGTTTTCTTGTATTTTATTTGCCTTAGCAGAGAGTTTACTTATCAAGTCTCTTATTGGGAGTCATATCTTGTGCTATGAATAACTACAAAACTTATTAACACCTCTCCTCAGCGGAGGTAACCCTTATTAGCAACCATTTCGGTCTGTAATTTCTTCTCAGCTGTATGTGATCTGTACCCTGCAGCACAAACAAGATAAATCCCAGAATCAATGAAACTTAATTTGGCCAAAAGGCCATAAAAACTATCAGGTCTCCCGTCAATAATACTGTCCCAGCCCACCCATTTCTTCCACCATATGTAGTCAATTTTTGAACAATGGTTACCAAAAGGCTACTGAGAAAGAATCCAAATGCAAGAGTTGTCAAAAATATGCCAGTGCTCATTGTTTTCATCCCTTTTGGTGATTGAGTTATGAAGAATTCTAACTGGCCAGTGTATATAAATGCTCTGGCCCACGAGGATGAACTGTGGGATCAAAAAGAAGACACAAGGGCTAGTGCTGATAGGAATAGACCAATGCCTATTCTTTGTAAACTTGTGAAACCTGCATGAGTAACTATAATCTTTCATAAAGGTGTTGATTTTTAAATTCAAGGGTACGAGTGTTTCATTAAAATTTCATGTATAAGATTGAAATTTTGCGACTACTACAAAAAGAGACAGTCCTTTGGCCAAAATAATCTAAATAACAGACCAAATGTTCCTATTTATTTAATATTTCAATTTCAATTTCAAATTCGAGAGCTTTTCCAACATTCTTGGTGATGGACTCTCCCTTAATCGAGAATACAATCACAAAATAAAAGACAAAAAATACACTTACATTTTGTCTTCTTTTTCTTCAGTCGGGAACTCATAAAATAATCGAATTATGTTAAATTCGCGGATGGCATGGATTGGCCAAGGCCTGGCGCTTTTCAAGATTTTCGTTGGGAGGCACCCTTCTTGTTTACATGTGGTAATGCCAACATGTTAGCTACAATTGGAGTCACTCATTTGCTCACGAAATATATTGTAAAGTCGAAGCATCAATAGTGTTGAGCAGGCTTTAAAAATTAAAATTGTAGTTACCTTCAAGCTTCAACTTACGAGTTAATTCGTGTAATTTTTCCGTTCCATCCAACTCAAGGGCAATTATGGAAAGAAAAAAATTGGGGAATACGGACTATCGATAGGGTGGTTATATTGCCACTACAATTTTGATGCTCCACATTTTAATTGCAGTTGAACTCTTCAATTTCTGCTCTTTGTAGCAATTATTTTTTTGAACTTTTTTTTCCTGTCGAATTCTTATATTCCAACTATCATTAATTAATATGTCTCGTCCTTGATGATGATTTATATTTAAATATTTTGTTTTCATATTTTGAAATGAGGGGAAAATATTCTTTTCACACTTTTTATTTATTTATTTTTAAAAAATATGGCTGGAAAATATGTTATTTTACGCAATTTCAACAAATTTTTTAACATAAAATTGTTATCATATAAAATGTCTTAACTAATGCAAAGTTTGAGAATAAAAATGACAACAAATAATCTTTAGGAATATAAGTACTATAATAAGTAAATATTAAGAATCTTAAGTGAAATTAAATTGTGGTG